ATAATAATAATAATAATAATAATAATAATAATAATAATAATAATAATTATAATAATAATGATTATTCAATTTAAATTTCCTAAGGCCATTTGTGAGCGCCATTTTGTATTTGGTCAAACATTTAAAAATTGTAATCCAAATGGCACAAGCGCGTTTAACATATTGTCCATTCACTTATTAATTATGAATTATAATTATTATAATATTTTTATTTTAATTGGTCTTAGGACGAACTAGATGCATTCATGTTACCAAACATGCCCGACGCAAAATTTGCTGCTGATATTTGTTGTTGCTGCTGCTGCTGTTGTTGTTGCTGCTGTTGTTGCTGTTGCTGATTGTTAGCAGATTGTCGGCCATGTTTGGGTAGAGGTGGCTGCAGGTACTCATGCCTCGACAAGGTGAACACATCAATACGATCTTCCTTGCGGTACGCTAGGCAGCAACGGATAAAGCTCTGTAAATTAAAGCAATATTATAGAATTGTATAGTTAAATGATTATTAATTATATGTAAATTGTACTAGTATAATAAAATTATAAACATAAATTGATTATCATACCTTTGCTTCATTACTGACTGTAGGTTTGTTGGCAAACTGTACCTCGGTAGCTTTTAAGATCGTATTTTCTTCTAAAATTGTAGCTTGGGATTGATTATGACCAAAAGGCTACAAATAATAATACATAACAGTAAATCAATTTCTACATAGAAATTAATCAATTATAAGTTTAACTACCTTTTTTCCATATAAACATTGGTAAAATATAACTCCTACACTCCAAACATCCACTTTGGAAGATATTTTTGGAGGATTTTTGCCAACTACAAAACATTCTGGTGGTAAATACCTAAACATTTTTTTTTTCATATTAGGTGATATTTAAAACAAATGTCATGTGTGCATATATTTGTTAAAAGTATATTATTTACCAGTACGTTCCAGCCCCCTGTGACGTAAGGTCCATTCCATGATCTGGATTATAATTTTCTTCGTCCATTACTTTACTAAGGCCAAAATCAGTGATTTTTATTTCACCACAGACATTGCCTTCAGTCAGTAATATATTTCCTAAAGACAATTTTTTTTTTAAATAAATCTTATTGGTTTTTTACATAATGTTTTGAAAAAAAAAATAAATACATACCAGGTTTTAAATCATAATGTATCACAGGAGGTTTAATCTCATTTAAATACTTAAGTGCTGATACCACTTGCATAACTATAGATCTAGCTTCTCGTTCAGCTATTGTCTTGTGCTATAAAATAAAATAATTTTAACTTCTACACCATATTCATAAAATAAATAATGGATTATTTAAGCAACTATTGTTACTCATTTTACCTGTTTTAAATAAAAATCTAAATCATGTCCATCACAATATTCAAGAACAGTGCAAAATGAATTTGCATCTATTTCAAACACATCATACAATTTAACAACCCTTGGATGGTCCAAAGACTTATGAATATTGTACTCTCGTAATGCATGTCTAGAAGATAATTATTTGTTAACTTACAATTAAAACAAAAGCTGTTAAAAATTAAAAATTCACTTTATATAATTAGCCTTTTTATCCTCTTTCCAGTCTTTATTCAGTTGATGAACTTTACAAGCTACGTAGCGTTGTTCTTTTAAATCGAACGCCTAAAAATAATAAGAAAAATATGAGTAACACTAAAATAAATAAAATAAAACTATTAAATAATTAATAATAGATACTCACTTTGTGGACTTCACTGAAACCACCTTTTCCCAACAGCATGAGCAATAAATAACGGTCATTCAACACTGGGTGATTGTTGAACCTAGATTGGTCTTCATTATGAATCCTTTTCAGTTCTCTTATGTGCAAATTTCTCTCTCGTTCCAACTTCTCCATTTCTAGCTGCAAATCAGCATCTTCTTTTTTCAATGCTGATTGTCGCAACTAAAAAAACAATCCACCAATATCAATTAATTAATTCATAATTTAAGACAAATAATTTAAAATTTTTAACTGAAATAAAATTATTAACCTTTAGTATCTCATCTGCTTCATAGTACTCTTGCCATGATAAACCTGGAACAGCTTCTGGCTTTAGGAACGTTGCTGTGTCCAAAGCGGACGATGGGGCTACAGTGCCATTGTGTAAGACCGTGCCTGTTGTAGCACCAGTTACTTGGTTATTATTGATATTTGGGTTGGGAAGCACTATGGGTGGGGTAGAAACTGAAGGGGTTGAATTTATAGGTACACTATTGGTACTTGAACTACTGCTTCCAGAACCAGATGACTGACTGCTGGCTCGTTTACGACCACCAGTTTCACTATTTGATGGCCTCTTTTTGACCAGCATCTTTTTTTGTCGATCAATTTCTTCTCTTTCTGATGTGATTTCTTCTTGTCTCCTATGGTATAAATACAAATATACTAGTTAATGAATGTTTATACATAAATTATTATTTTAAGTTTTTTATTCTCATACCTAGACAATTCCTGAAATGCATAACCATCAGTCCAATTTTCTTGAAATTGTGCACCAACCCTTTGTGTAACAAACTGACCAAGTCGAAGTCTATTTTGCATACACCGTTGCCTGGCTTCTTTTTTTTCAATGTTGGATTTTTCTTTCAATAATTTCTTTACCACATCAATGCATTTATTTATATGCGATTTGTGTTGTTCTATCGTTTTTTGTTGACTGCTTAGTTGGTGTTTCAGTTCTTCATTTGTCTATAATCAATTAAATTATTATATTTCAATTTTGTTTGATTTGAAATTACATGTACTTCAAAATTTTTAATTTATTCTCCTTACCCTATTCAATTCATCAATTTTATTATTTCTGAGCTCCAAATCCGAAGAAGCCTGACATTCAAACTCTTGGATTGCATGACTCGTTAAATCAGTCTGTATACATTTTGTAATGGAACTAGAGTTAATCCTAGGTGGGTGGAGTATGGAAACATAATCTGAAGGTAGTACAGGACTCAATGCTTGAGGTCCACTTGTTGGATTAAACTAAAATAGATTAAAAACTGACTTTGTTGGATAGTTTTTAAAAATAAAAATAAACAATCACATACCATAGGGTAACCTTGTTGCGGGGGTCCACCAGGTGATGGTGATTTTGCTCCACCATGCCTCATGGGATTAGACACAGGATGAGAACCATGCTTATTAAAATAGTCATTTATCTTTTTAGTGTCTGCCACCGATCTGGAAGGCGGTGGAGGAGGTCCGACCACCATGTTTGGTTGCTTGTTACTGCCTATATCATCTATTTTTCTTTTGCGCTTACGCTCAGTAGATGTGCGGGTGATGTTATTTACTTTTTCTGGAGTATCTTGCTCCTTGTCGCTATGCGACGAACCTGTACTCATATTTGAGTCTTGGCTATGAATAGTTCCTCCTGGTTGAGGATGTGGTAGGTGCATTTGGCCAGCTTGTGGAGCCATCTGCAGCTGAGTCCCGGCTGACATCTATAAAAGACAATAAACAAAATAATGTGATCATTAATGCATCAAATATTGAAATATGCTTCTATTTATAAAACAAGTACTAAGATTTCAGATTTTTCAATAATTTAAGATTTTCACTAACATAAACTTGTCGATTATTCAACACTATAAACTTAATGTTATTATTCAACAACATCATGGACATGGATTTCAAAACGTACAATTTTTTAAGTGCTACCACGGGATGAATAATATTTTAACATGGGTCCAGTTTTTAGTACCAAACGAATATTTTATCACACATCTTAAAAACGATTTATGAAAACCGCATAATACACCACACAAACAATAAACAACAAAATACTACGCAACCACAAATATATAAAAAATGTATAAAAGGAAATCGATAAAAAAATATGATGAAATATTTTACAATAAAATCTTTTTTCGACTAAATATCAGCAGTACATAGAGGAACGAAATAAAATCTTTTGTTGAATGCCGTTGAATATTATACTGTGTGAAATTGCTCTTTATTTTCAAAGCTTTAATCTGTATTATAAATTATAATACACACATACATTTTGTATAGGTACCTATAATCTATACATATACTGAACATTACAAGTACTCGTAATATTTAAGTAGGTTTATAAGTATCGAAAAACACTTAAATACCGTATTACACTTAATTTAAAAACATGAAAAGAAAATGGTCGGTTATAATCGAGGCAACGACGATGATACTGTAAAATTCAAAATGATGTAATAACGTCATAATCCTGGCTCATAATGCACGAACGGAACGAACACATTTATTATTATCGATCATCACACGTGATTTGTTGGTTGAATTGAATTTGAATTTGTTGAACACCGAATTACGTTACACAGAGGAGCATATGCAAAAGAGCTCCGCAGTCTGACGCGAGTCGCGACTATCGACCAGACGAAATAATGAAAAACCGTCAGTTTCGTTTTCCGTCCGTTGGTTTTAAGAATTTCAATGGCGGCATAAAAACTTTAATGATAATATTACGATATAGGTACGATGGGCGAGAGGGGAAGGGGTAGGTAAAAAGCGATTTTGATACATATGTGCGTGATAAACCGTGTGTGCGTGCACACGACAAAACATAAAGCTACTGTAGTATTATAAATGTATATGTACAAGTCTTGTGGGGTCCGACCACCGTTAACACCGATCACCTCGGATCCGAAGAGCAAACTACCCCTGTTGACCTGCCGTCGAGGAGAAGGAGTGCACGGGGTAATATGAGAACAATATGCGACGGTAACGATCGAATGGAAAAGCTCTATACGCCGAGACCCTACGTTCCGGGAAATCAGTATCCGCTCGGATATACACTCCCACGACGACCGCCGTCGTTAAACCGTCCCCGGTCGAGACTGCGGTTCCGTCCGGAAGAGGCCGCCCCCACGTCGTCTGGTCATCTCTCGCGAACATACGAACACCTAGGTCGATGGTCCTGAGTCGAGCTGTTCACGGTCGGCCGAGTCGCTATAAGTGTCTATTTAATATTCTGCATCATTCCGCGCAGTTAGAACAAAGCCTCGTATGGGGTTCCACGTATGGAACATTCCATCTACAGCAGCGCCTTAAACAGCATACGCGTAAAATGTTCAACCGTTGCCTCGAGCAAGCAGAACACGAACCGGTCGACTTCCGAATAACAAGGCACTTTGAGAGTTTGAATATTTTTGACCGCACCGAGACCTAGCCGAATTCGCATGACGGTATAGACGAGCAGTAGTAGTAGAGTAGGAAATCGGTCGATTGTCAACACTGTCGGCTTATAACGAATCGATGTGTACATGGGCGCGCGTGGGAGCGAAACACTAGGGAAATGGCGGTGATGGTAGCGGGGGTAGTAGCAGTGTTTATATATACGTGTGCGTGTGTGCGTGTATGGACGCGTATCCGAGAAATATGTATATACGGGCACACGCACGCACAAAGGTGAAGCAGAGAAGTTTGACGGTGTACGGAGGAGAAGAACGGTGTTGGTGTGTGATGATGATGATGATGATGACGACGACGACTACTACGAGCGAGCACGGTGTGGAAGAAGTGATCGGGGTACACGATGGCATGGAGGTAGAGGGGAATTACATTTCTGTTATATTCAGTTACTGTACACACACACACACACAGACACACACAGTTTTCTGCCGGGCAACATCGGCAGCAGCCGCAACACAGAAACTTGCGTACACACGCACACAACGCATATACAGCCTCAGCCCCAACGTTGCCAAACCATTTCTTATAATACCGCGACACAAACGTATACGACTCGGCGAGGGGGTCATGATGACGTTGACCGATCCCCACCGCTTCTACCACCGGCGATCCAGCAAATCCGTTTTTCCACCTCGCCTGCACCATTATATTACCAACCCCATGGCCCAAACACCCGAACGACGAAAACTACCGCCGCCGCCGCCGCTTATACATATAGGTACTACTAACGCGTTTGCGGTGGTAATTGCCGTCGTCGTCGGCCTTTTAAAAAGCCGATCGATTTCACGCGAGCTGCAAAACACCAAGTCGTTTTCTCTTTTTAACCCTACCCCTGCCACTTCACGTCCCTGCTTCCTACAGACATACTCACCCGTCCGATTTTAGCGGTGGTCGAACGCACTCATGATAAGACGCGCGTATGCAGGGATCGTTTAAAGAAGGATGTAGGATACGTTTTTCAAACGGCTTATAAAAGGTGATGCAGTTGTTTTAGGGGATCACGCCTCAAAATCAATCAGGGTTAGAAGATTGCCCTGCGTGTGAAATAAGATGAGAAGGAGACGACGACGACAACGTATAGAAACGAAACCACTGAATGCTGAACCAAGAAAGAGAGGGATATCGATTATAAGAAGGCCTACTACTAACACTACCTATGTATACTATTACCGCTACTATCCCTCACACCCGTCACACTCGCTTATATGCATATACATACGTGTCTGTGTGAATGAGGCCGTTACCCGATTTACCCACCTTTTACATACACACATATAACCCGTGCGAACTATTGATTTTGTAAATATACATTATATACATATACACATTGTATTTGTATATATATAAATAATATGTACATAAACCATAGTCCCGTGCATATTACTCCATACCCAGCCCTATTTGGCCACAACTTCCCGTAAGCTCATGGACAGAAACGATGACGATGATGACTACTGTACTACACAATATGATTGTACATTATATAACAAAATATACGTTCATTACAGTTTGGCCGTCATTGATGGCGGACGTTGATTTTCGAACAGTATTATTTTAATCGACCATTCATTCGCCCCAGCATTACCGTCGAAGGAATACTTTTATTTTTTTGTCTTTTTATTTAATTTGACGAATCGATAGTCGTCCTCCTCTTCGTCTTTCGTCGCTTTATTTCTCTCTCTCACCCCTACCCCTCTCTCCCGCGGGGAAGGGCAACAGCACCTCTTGTGCACCGCCACCGCGTGTACATTTTATACATATATTTATATCAACAAATATCTAATATGGCCGCGCGCATCGAATGAAAATCGTACACCGTCAACGACATGCTCGCGAATAATATAGCAGCAGTTGGCGTGATCTGTTGTGTACCGGCGACGACGGGTCACCGACCCAACTTTATAGTTTATACCACAGGCGGGCTACATTCCATTCGACATTTAACCCGGTTCGTGTTGCATTATAGATTATAACTTTTTTGTTGCATATTGCTCTCGACGAAAACGCACGACGACCGCTGTCCGTTAACCGACGGTGGCAGAAACGGTCGTAGCAATAGATTTTAGAAATCATCCATTTACATCGTATAATAATAATGATAATAGTGGAATTTCATCAAAAAAATAATATGCAATAAGTACTACAGCAGTGCACAAGACATTACAATGATATAATATAATATAATATAATCAACCTTCTACACACCGGTATCACGACTCATCTAGCATACCGCTCACTTGCCGAACGGAGTTTTCGCAATACTCGTGCCGATTATTATGTTTATTACGTTTACGATTATTTACGTTTTCGTCGTACTTGTACGTGTATTTAATATGTATACTATAAAACGTTGACGACGAACCGAATTTCTGTATAATACCACACGCTGACATATACATATGCACACACACACACACACACACACACAACGATCACATAGAGGGAAAATACTAAGCGTATCTCCCTTATATCCTTCGCACCCCCACCCCCGGTTTAATGACAATAGGGTGTGCCAACCCAGGAGATTTCAATTTCTCGATTATACGCACACAGACAATGCTACGTTGTGTGTAACAACATAGAAACCTGACAACAGTGGACGACGACGCTACTTAAAAACATTTGCTCTAATACACTAACTACGACGAGGTCGAAAACGTAGATTGAAAATATCGAATAATAACAACGACCGCGGCTGTTTTGACGTCGAGGGGATGATTTTGGATATGTAAACGGTATACGCCGACCAATATTACTATATCCCCCCCTCGTGTAACCCATGATTTTCGGCAATACAATACTCATTGAATTCGAATCGCCAAGAAAAACGGATTTGTGAGCCGTTTTTTACCGGTCGACCAAGCGAACATAACACACCACCTGCTTACAACGCTTATCGCGGACAACACTGAAACCGATTTAAAAAAAACGAACTAAAATTCGGGGAGCAAAATAACGTGGAACTGGATAACCGGATCGAAGGGGGTTCGTAACTAGTTTTGAGCAACATTTATCTATTACAAGCTGTATATATTTTGTTCGTTAACACGTAGGCTCCCCCGAACTGTGAATTCCATCGTATAATATAAAATAGTTGCATAAAATAAAAAAAAAAAAAAACGATAAAACCAGAATGATGCATATTATTATATAGTAAACAAAAAAAAAACACCGTCGACTGTACATTCAACTGCACACTGTTGTGCAGATTTCGACTGAAAACGTCTTCAAAGCACAATGGCCGACCGCAAACAAT